TAGGTAATAAAAAATTAAAGTCTAGTTGTCTAAAGTATTTCATACAAAATAGAAATCACGTCGGGTTTTCAAATAAAACCGACGTGTACGTTTTAATTAAAAATAACAAAAAATATAAAAAATCACCGTAGCACCATATTCTGAAAATACATTTTAAATATCTATCACGTCGTTTATATATATATATATATATATATATATATATATATATATATATATATATATATATATATATATATATATATAAAAGGATATGAATATATAAAATAAAATAAAAAGGCTTTTGAAAAAATTTATTTGAAAATATTAATGCAAAATTATTTCCTTTCAGTTAGACCATATAACCGAGATTAATACTAATAAAAAATATATAAAAAATACAAAGAAAAAAGGGGAAGTTGGAACTTGGAAAGGTGCCAACTGAAAAACAAAAAAAAATTAAACCATTTAAAAAACATAAAATGCAGTAACAGAGATTCGAAGCAAGCTCCCTTATAGTTATAGTAGTAACCGAGGTTTTTATTTATTTATAAAAAATAGAACATGGCGCTCCTAGGATATATCCACTCGATTTTCAAATGTTCGAGGTAAAAACTTTGTGTGAAATGTCTTATTTATTGTAGTGGCCCGAGAAGAAACATAAAGGAAGTTCTAGCTAAGAAAGCAATATGTGATTGATTAAGGCGTCAGTGAGGGAGGTAAAACATCTATTTTTACCTAGGAATTACAACTCTTCCAAGATTGCTTATGAGTTTCCTTGTTGTGAATGGGGGATATATCGGTCTCCAATAAAGCTCACCAACTTCTATGGGTATGACAACCTCAAAGACATTTGTTAATCTAAAAGGGTACCCCGATTGTGGAATTAAATGTGGTCTGGTATGCTAATATGACATGTGGGAGTTATTCTTCCTAATTGTCCTTAGAACCTTCTTGTCTTTTTCTCAGTCCTCTTAGTAAGAATTTGTTATAGGTCTTTGCTTAACCGTTAGTTTGTGGGTGCTTCACTAATGTGAATTCGAGTATGAATCCCAAGTCTTAAAAGAGTTTTTTTCTTCAAATCACTATCTATGAACTGGGCTCCCTTGTATGTCTCTATGAATTGTGGAATATCATATTAGACTAATATATTTTTCTTAAATTACTTTTGAATGTAAGCAGTTGTGATCTTTTCTAAGAGTTTAGCCTTAATCCACTTAGTGAAGTATTTGACAACAACTATAAGGAATTAAAACTACCCCTGGGCAAGTGCGAAAGGTTCCAATATGTCCATGCCTCGCTGAGAAAATGACCATGAAGTTGTTAAAATGTTGAGTTCAAGTAAAAGGCTATTTAAATGTCTCCATGCTTCTAGAACCATTCACACTTCATCGTATATTTTTTGGCATCTTGGACCATGGAAGGTCAGTGATTTGATGATCTAAGGACTTTTTTAGGAAATGCTCATCCTTAGAGATGTTGTTTAGATATATTATTGTGGACTTCAACGAGGGTGTATATGAATTCTTCATGCTCTAAACATTTGAGAATGACAATGATAAACCTCTCATATATAGCTTATGCCCTATAATTGAGTATGAACATGCTCTTCTTTTAACGAGATCGACCTCAACATAGTTTATTGGTAAGACCTTGTTCTCGATGTATATCATGATCGACGTGATCCATAAAGCTTCTGAAGTCCTTAATGACACAATGGCAATAAATACTAGAGTGGAGAGGTCAGGTATATCGCGTGTCTTCTAGGTTAAAAAATAATTGATGCTTGTTAATATTGGACTTTTCAGCTTTGATAATATTTTTTTCACTTGTGTTCTACTCTCTTGGCACATTTATGATCTCATATGCTTTAAACAAATTTATCTTCTCCTTGACCATAACAAATAACTTTAATAATAATAGACCTTTAGCTTGTGCGTCTCCTTTGACTTGTGAGAGCAATTGCTGAAAATATATATGCATTTTGACTTCTTCTGCTCCCATTTCTGATGCTAAAGTGAGCCTGTCAATGATGGCTTCATATTCAACTTGATTTTAAGTGGGGCATAATTTAAATTATAGATAAAAATTTTCTATTATCCATTCACCACTCTTAAGGATGAAGTTGATTCCTCTCCCTATGTTGTTTGATGATCATTTAGTGAAGATAGTCCACTTCGTGCAAGGTTCAATTATGGTTAGAGTGAGTTCTGCAATGAAATCAACGAATACATGATCTTTTAGGTATTTTCTAAGTTTTAATGAGATGTAAAATTGTGAGATCTCAATTGACCAATTTGTCACCCGCCTTTTTAAGTCTCTCTTGAAGAGTGCTTGTTTCAATGGTTGGTTAGGTTTGACTAACATTGAATGGGATAAAAAGTAACGTCCCAACTTCCTTGAAGGTACCACCAAAGTTAAGGAAAACTTCATTATCCTATGATAGTGCGTATCAGGTATTGGTAGTGCCTTAGAGATAAAGTAGAATAGGTGTTGCTTCATCCACATCTCTATCGCAATAGATTGATGACTACTTCTACTAAGGCTACCAAGTAAATGAATAAAATTGCCTCATTCATGGGTTTCGAGAAGACTAAGTGTTTCAAGAGGGCGTTCTTCAGTGGTGTGAATGCTTTTTCCTAGTCTAGTGCCCACTTAAAGTATATTTCTTTCTCGAGGAGTCCATAGAATGAAACAATGTGTTGGGAGTGTCTGAAGATGAATCATTGAGAATAATGAGCATAGTGTAAGTTTCATGATCCTTTCCATGGTGGTGGGAGTCTCCATCTTGATGATAACGTCACATTTTTCTAGATTCACTTTTATTCCCCCTTTCAGTGGTGTAGAATAAAAGAAACTTACATGCCTTGACTCTGAAAATGCATTTCTCCGAGTTTAGCCTCATATTAAAATTTTGAACTCAGTTGAACACACCTGCAAGGTTTATTTTGCGTAGGTTATCTTCCTCGTGTTTGATGAACATGTCATCCATGTAGACCTCTAACATGTCTCCAATCTCATCCTTAAAGATATTGTTAATTATTTGTTGGTAGGTTTCACATGAATTTTTTTAAAGCAAATGAGATAACATTTTATACATAGTTGACAGGTTCCCTCATGAAGGTTGTTTTGTACCAATAATTCTCGTTCATTGGGATCTGATTTTACTCAAAATAGCCATCCATAAAGGATAAAAACTTGTAAATGACTAAGTTGTCTACCTACTTGTCTATGTTGGATAGAGGATATGCATCTTTTGACTAGGCCTTGTTCAAGTCGGTGTAGTCGACACACATGCAACACTTTTCATTTTCCTTCATGAACAATATGAAGTTTGACATCTGCTCAGTGTAGTTAAGCTCTGGGACAAAGTTTTCTTGAAGGAGTTTGTTAACAAAGTTCTTGGTGGATCCAACCCTCATGATGAGAAGAATAACGACCGTTCTTGAGCTATGGACGATTGTGAATCAATTTTTACAAGAAGGATCATCAGGATGGCTTCGGTGTGGTCGTGTTGTAGAACCTCTAATTGTGTTACATTCTTAGTTGGAGCTTTTCTTAATTCTCTTCGAAGCAAAGAAGTCTAACGCTTTGTTGTTTTAATAAATTGAAAAATGTTCAACAGGAGTTTGTTTGCGTTGGGTGCGCTAAACAAGATTTGAAATTGTTGGAAAAAATACTTCGGCGTGGGAACTGATATGTGAGGACGAGGAATTTGATCATGTTATGAAGGAAATTGACGAGTAAAACAATTGAGGAATCATCGTTAAAACTTGGGGATCTTGTCATAAGGGACGTTCTTTAATGACGCGAGAAAGAATTGTCATGGAGTTCTCTTGAAGAATATCGATGGTTGATTTAAGGTAATGATTTATGACGATGCTTTAGAGGACGAGTTGACTTTGAACCAACCATCATAGGTGGGATTAAAGGTAGTTACAATAAAAAATTGAAGAAATTCGAGAGGATTAAAGAAAATCGATTCTCACAGAGCAACTATTTCGCACTGGAATTGAAAATGATTGGCAGATGAAAGACAACCACCATTAAGATAATTCAAGTACGCTTGTGACAATTTCCAATGACCGAAGCAGGTGCTTCTAAAAAAGGTAAGCAGTTTGACGTTTAGTCAATATGAGATTAAGGTAAAACTTTTAAAATATAAGTTGAATCATACTTAGTTGTGACTGAGAGTCACACTTACACTTATATTAGAGAGACAATTAGAGTTGTCTCTATGTTATCCAATGTGAAATATGAGTAATCGTTAAATGCATATATCAACAATTCTCATAAAAAGAGAGATATGGTCATGTGCAGTGTCTATGGATTCATGTCTACTAATACGTCTGTGATTGACACATCTTAACCAAATTAAGTCGGTCTTCATGATCGGTTGCCAGTCCAAAACATATATTAAAATTTTATTTGAAATAAAAATTATAATTAGAGAGATACTAATATCATATATCTTTTCTAATATCTATTTTTTTAATCCAATTTTGTTATGTCATTTAATCAAACATGTCCATTATCTAAAAGAGAATCAACTTAAAATAGCACATTACGCACTTCCACATAAATAACAAATTGACTTCTCAACACCTACTTTTCCTTAAATAGTCTTCCAATTGAATTATTATACTCCCCATGATATGAAATGCCTTTGTCTATGTTTAATTATATGATGTAAGCATATTTTTTGTCCAAATATGATTATTATCCACTCAACCAAGTTGCCTCTTCCACACGTTGCGTCACTTATGTTGTGGATGTGATTATCCATAATCCATGTATGTGTAACATGTTATTCATACATAGTTTGTTCAATCAACTCATAGCCTACATAACAACACATCATAAGAATATGCATGTTATATATGTACATGTACATGTACATGATTAGCCTATATATACCAACTAGTCCCACTCATATTCTCTCCATCTCTAACTCCAATCATATTCTATACTCTTAACAATTTTGATCCAAATCCTCACAATCTTTTATTCATTCCTCCACCATGCAAACAAGAGAGTTTAATACACAACTCAATTATTTACTCCCAAATTCCAATCCATCATCATGCAACTACAACATGTTCCAAACATCTCATCTCCAAAACCTCTCCAACCAAATCCTCCAAGACTTCAGCCCTCAATCCTCATGCATAAGCAATAACTCAACCTCCGACGAAGCGGACGAGCAAACGAAAGGACTAATCAACGAGAGAAAGCATCGAAGAATGATATCGAACCGGGAGTCAGCGCGCCGGTCGCGAATGAGGAAACAGAAACACCTTGATGAGCTTTGGTCACAGGTTGTTTGGCTGAGGAATGAGAATCATAAACTAGTTGATAAGTTGAACAGTTTTTCGGAGTCTCATGATAGAGTTGTGCAAGAGAATGTTCAGTTGAAAGAACAAGCTTCGGAGCTTCGACAAATGGTTTGTGACATGCAGTTGCATGGTTCTTGTCTTCCTTTGAGTCCTCTTGAGGATGTTCCTAGCATGAACTCACCTCATGCCGAATCTTGAAGTTCTGTTTTTTTGTGTTCTATAAGGTGAAACCATGAAAAGAAATAACATGTTTTGAGGATTTTATTTTTGTTTTAGTTCTAATGATTTCTTCTAAGCAATAAATGTTTAAAGTGGTTCAAATTTGTGGTTAATTAATGAAGCACCAATTTGTTGGTTACACTGTAGATTTAAAGTTAGTGTAAATAAATAAATCAAAACAGATTAGAGATATTTGGTTTCATAACAAATTCAATGGCGCGTAGTGGTAGTGGTAGTGATGTTTTGGAGCGCCTAATAGGATAAAAAGAATCATAATTATTGTTGAGGATCAATTAAAGTAGTTCATATTAAAAAAAGTAGATAATAAGTGATGCATTGGTATCTCTTATTAAAGTTTTCCATTAAATCACCAGGATGATACGTGCTCCCCCGCACGGGTAAATTTATTTGATAATTTATAAGGATAAATTTATTTGATACGATATAAATTATATTTAAATGCACATATAAATTTAAAATAAATTATTTAATTATAAAATAAATAATAATTTTAAAAATTCAATTGTATTAAATAACTAAAAAAATACAATTGCTAAAAAAACAACAAATTAGATAGTGTGTTAATAATGAGTAGTAAAATTGGGCATTTTATTATTATTTTTATGTGCTATTGCTTCGTCCATATTATCCATTAATCATCTAAAAATTTACAAATAAAAAATGGAAATAAAAAAAAAATAAGTTATGAAATAAACTTCACATATAAAAAGATTTTGATAAGGAAAAGTTAAGGCCTAAGAGATATTAAGAGAACTCTTATTGAACATAAAAACTAAATTTATACTAATTAATCATATAATTAGTGGCTGTGAGAAATTATTTGAAAATAGCAGCAAGAAATATTAAAATTTCATAACAAATATAAAACTCATAATAAATATAAAACAGTGGTGGTATCGGTGTTTTCAAAACCGAATTGAACCGGTCAGTTGAACCGGTCGAACTGGGAGCCGGAGAGGCCACCAGACTGGTTGCTGGATCGAATATGCTATTGAACCAGTGAGAATCGGTTAAAACCGCTAAAAACCGGTGAACCGGCGATTTAAATACATGTCTTTTTTTTTCTTCATAATAACGACGTCGTTTTGATAATTTATTAAATAAAATTAAAATATAAGTAGACTTTATTCAAAACCTATTTGAAACAATTTTTCTTCGTTTGTAATCAGATATTCAAAATTTATTTGAATTTGTATTTTGTACTATTTTTCCGTGCGTGATGACTACGTAAAGAGTTTGAATTTAAAGAATGAGCTTGTGAAACTATTTCACCTATGAGGTTTGATTCAACATTTTGATAATCCCCAAGCTGTTCTTTTAATAAGTGGAAAGTTTTTGATGTTCCAATATTTGCCTTACTATATGCAAGTAATAAATTCTTGTGAATTGGATTCACTTTTCTTGCCGATCTTAAAAACGGTCTCTTCATAGGTGAAACAAGAGCGTGTGTATGAATCTCATGAAATCGAACTAACTCATATTTACCTTCTTCCACTCGTTTGAAAACAACATTTGCATTGCATCCTTCTCTAGTAAGACTCCTTCTTCTAGCTTTGATACTAGATTCACTCTGCTCCATCTCATTTGTCTTCATTGGCAAATAACCTTGTTTTGAGCAAACAAAGTACTTCCAACGCTTCACACCGTTTTTGTCTTTAGTTTCTAATGATGTACGCACACTAAATCCGACATGATGTGCATATTTTTTGTAAAATTCTCCACCTTCTTCTAATGTATCAAATACTTGTCCAATCTTAGGCTTTAACTCATCAAGTGAGAGTGATTTTAAATGCGAGATGAGAGGAACAAACAACAACCATATATATATATATATATATATATATATATATATATATATATATATATATATATATATATATATATATATATATATATATATATAAAGTAAAATGCACATTGTACGTAGACCTTGCATTTTCAAAGCCAGCCATGTAATATATAGCGGACAAAGAGAAAGAACATAAAAAAAATTGATCATATATTTGATTAGTGATCTTACTAATTATCCTGTAACATGAATTCATCAAACCAACACCATTCATGATTCTTAATGCAACCATTTCTCTATTTCCATCGGTTGATAATCATCATCAACTCACATGTCTTATGTCATCTATACATCAACATGAGGTTTTTAATATTAGATATAAGATACAGTGAAATGATCATATTTTTAAATTATGATGGCAATAAGTAGCAATATAACATACTCTCAAACCAAAAATAATATAATTTGAAAAAATAAACTTACCATTTACATATAAAACACTATGAGTTGACAGTTAATTATCAATTTCACTATATTCTACTATTAGGAACATATATCCTAGGAGAAGGAAATGCTACAATAATTATTACCGAGAAAAACTGCATTTTGTAGTATTCAAAATATTATGTTAATGTGTTAGTATCGGTTGGCTGTTAATTAATTACCAGTATGATAGCCTAATTATAGTTTTAACTTCTATTCTATAAATTAATATCAGGTATTAAACACTGTTTCATTCAATCAATCACTTATTCATAATAAGACTATTTTTTTTTTCAATTTTCCCTCAAACCCTCTTAACCAATGGCCAAGAAATTATATAGCAGTAGCAATAAATTAGAATGATCAACACCACATTTTATGCCACAATTATATTTGTTCCCTCTCAGATACAAAATCAAGAAACACTTTCACTCTTGATAATGGTAAAGATAGAAATTAAGTTGAAGGATTCTTGCAGTAGAATCTAGCCTCAATTTTCCCTCAAACCTCCTCTTTTGGAAACACATAAACTAGATTGTGAACAAACATCGATTCATACTTAAAAATTGAGATCAAACTCATTTAGGTTGCATAAGTGTAAAGAGAAAAAGTGCAAGTTAAGGCAAAAAGAAAAATATTAAAGGGTGGGCAAAAGAATATAACCCTGCTACCATAGAAGGTATGGCATATGGACTTTCTTGAATACACAATAAACTGATATGGATGCATCTCATAACTTCATTTCTTGAATAAGAATCGTGTAACATTGGATCGAGTAACTCCAATGGTGTTTCTCTGACCATTTTTTCCAAACCTATGGTATAATACATAATATTATTAAAGCTTGTATTGCATCAAAAGAGCATAAGAAAAAAGTGATACTTTTATATACTCACATAGCTTAAGAGGTCATCATCAACATCATTATATTGATTTTAATCAGTATTCTTCTTGCCACTTACAATTTCCACCATTCATCCTGTATTTACTTTCTGATCTCCCTGGAAAATTCTTGCCATCCCAAAATCTGAAATCTTCGAATTCATATTTTCATCTAATAGAGCATTGCTAACTTTGAGATCATGTTGAATAATTCTAAATTGGGAGTCTTCATGCAGATAAAGAATCTCTCGAGCAATGCCAACTATAATCTTGTAGCGTTTTAACCAATTAGAAAATGTCTTTTTTTTATAAAACTAATAAAAAATAGAAAATGGAAAATGATCAAGGATTTTATTTGGTATGCATTCATATAACTACAATAAAGACCGATACTTCTAAGCTAAGATCTACAATAAAGATCGATATTAACAACAGTAAGAAGGTACACTAATTTTTTTTTATAAAACTAATAACTTTGGCAGCTGTATCAAATAGAAAATGATCAAGGCTTTTATTTGGTATGTATTCATAGATAAGAATCTTCTCCCTCCCTTCAAACAAAATCCCAACATTTTCACTAAATTTCTATGTTGAAGCTTGGCCACAATGGAAGCTTATTTTATTAACTCTACTGCACACTGTTGGGAGGTTATCAACATCCTTTTCACAGCTATCTGTTGTCCGTTGGGAAGGATGCCATAAACAAAAATATGACCAAATCAGATTCAAAGTTAGCATATAAAAAATATGATCGGATTCGTTAAACTAACTAATATCTTACCTTATAAACCTCGCCAGAGTCCAAACCAGTTTGCTCAAATTTAGCATAGAAAAAACATGTTTAAACCACACCAATTAAAGTCATGCCATGAAATTCTAAGTACATAAAATGAAAAAGCAGATGAAAGAAACTCATTTAGAAAAGAAAATGAAAAGCAGTTTAAACAAATACTCAGTTTGATGTTGCAGTTAGGAAAAAAACTTAGTTAGGAAAGATACTCAGTTTGTTTAAACTCATCTAGGAATGAAAAACATCAGGTATAACAAAAACAGTCGTTCGAGATTCAAGATACTACTAAAATAGTTGTTCAGTAGTTCAAGATACTCATGTTCTAAGATTCACAAAACATTTGTTCAGTAGTTCAAGATTCACAAATAAAAAGGAAAAAATATATTTCAAAAGTGTGTCAAACTCAGTTTATTTAAAAGATAATCATAGAAACATGTTATAATGAAACTTTTAGGTTTACAAAGTTAGCGAAACTCAGTTAAGACCAATGAACTCAGGAAATGTCAGAGCTCCATTTTTTTAACAGATAAAAGAATACCCCTGAAAAGCGTTTTATGCAACAAACGATTTCACATGTTTACGTAATGTATCAAAAACAGTATAAATTTTGAGTAAAAATTCAGAGTTACAGACGAGGCACAAATGATAATAAATCTATTGTATATGAGGTACAACGAAATAATGAAGCTAATATATTGAGTAGAACTTGAACAAACCATAAGAAAATCATGTTTTATGAATAATTTAACAGGACAAAAAGAAACCATAATAATATGTAAAGAGAATCAGTACACAAAAGAACAAACTTGTAGTTCAAAACATGAGGTTTGACGAGGAAAAGAGATCTAATCTTAAAAGCTTTGGTGAAATGAGTTGTGGAGCAAGAGATAGACAAAGATGATGCTTTTTCGAAATATGAAATCTTGGAGAAAAAGTTAGGCAATGAGGTAGTACTTTTGTAAGAGAGAGATATTATGGAGGAAAACAGAGAAAACATAGAAAACGGAGAAAGGG